GATAGGAAAAGAACTTTTTTTCCACTCATCAACTATGAAGAGTCTTTAGAATAGTATGTATGGAGCAACCTTAAATGGTCAGCTGAGCTATATTCGTACAAAAACAAATAAAAACTTTTGTTTATGTCAAGTGATAAAAAAATCTAAACTATGAATAATTTAAATGTGATAAAATGTTTAAGTTTACTTTTAATTGTAACAAAACTTGTGCGAATAAAACTTCTCTTAAAAAGAAAACAGAAACGTATAAGAAGATGGTGGGTAAAACCGCACATACGTGAAAATATTAGGAACGAACTTGGTGCTCATAAAAAGGTGTTTCTATATTTTCGCACAAATGATCATGAAGAATTTTTTAAATTTACACGAATGTCTGTGCAGCAATTTGATTATTTGCACGACCTTTTAAAGCCAAAAATACAAAAAAGGAGTCGAAGAGAACCGTTGCCGACTGAAATTCGAATTGCTGCTACGTTAAGGTTAGTTTATAAATTACATTTTAAAATATAATAAAGTTTACTTATTATTTTAAATATTGGTTTGCTAAATTATATTTCTTTTGACAAATATTACAAATTTTAATATCATTTTCAGTTTTCTTGCTCACGGTGACAGCGTGGCAACTACATCTTGGTTTTTTCGCATTGGAAAATCAACAATGTATAAATTTATTCCTGAGGTATGCCATGCTATTTGGGAAGTACTTCATCCAATATATTTACAATGTCCTCAAAATGAGAATGAGTGGATAAGAATAGCAGACGATTTCAATAATATTTGGAACTTTCCAAATTGTATTGGAGCAATTGATGGAAAACACTGTCGAATTAAAGCACCATCAAATTCGGGCAGTTTTTTCCACAATTATAAAGGTTACTTTAGCCTTGTTTTACTTGCTATTGTGGATGCCTCTTACCGATTTATTTGGGTTGACATTGGAGATTATGGTAAATAAAATTTGTAGAAATGTTTTCTATAATATATTTAAAGTATATAATTGTTTATATTTACACACACACATGTACTTATTTTATTTATTTTACTTTGTAGGATCAAAAAACGACGCTGGAATCTGGTCACAAACTAAAATGAGTTATGCATTAGAAAACAACACAATATCTATACCAAAAGAACGTCCTTTACCTAACACTAATTGTTCATTCCCATTTTTTATTATTGGTGACGGGGGCTTTCCACTTAAAACATACTTAATGCGTCCATTTGCAAAAAATAATTTGCAAAATATTGAACGCCGAGTGTTTAATTATCGACTGTCACGGGCACGTCGAGTGTCAGAAAATGCTTTTGGGATTCTTGTTACAAGATGGCGAATTTTACAAACACCTATCGCTTTAAAGTTAAGTACCGCAGAGACAATTGTGCAAGCAATAACATGTTTACATAATTATATTATAAATACTAAATCATGTAATAATCAATATATACAAGAAAATATCATAGATCATGAAAATTCTGCTGGTGAATTAATAGCAGGAAACTGGCGAACTTCAATGCCAGAAAATGGTTTTATTAATCGTTTAGGAAGAATTGGTGCCAATGTTGGTGCAGCTACTGCTGTAAGACAACGTGATACATTAGCTCGTTATTTTGTTTCAGAAGAAGGAAGCATTTCATGGCAATGGCAACATATATAATTTGAACAAAGGCTTTTTGTTTACTCAACAACATTGAGCACCAAATTCTTTATAAATATATAACAAAAAAAATATCGTAGTAAGTAATTAAACTTTTCAAAACATTTTTATTTTATAAACTGTGTGTTATACAACTTATAAATACATTTAATGTAATAACACTTAGATTTAAGACGTAAACTAAAAACTTTTTTGCAAAAAATTCTTTATGTCAAGATATAATTTTTGAGATAGATTTAATATGTATGACAGACTTATTTTATATTGTACTATATTTTGTACTTTTTTGTAATATAATAAAGAAAACTCTTTGGTGTTAATATTAATTTAAAATTCTTAAGATTTATACAAGTCTCAACATCTCTCTCTTGTACACATAAAATATAAACTGTTAATAAAAAACCTTCTTTAATTAAACACAAATTTCACAGTTTTAATATTTGTGAGAGTCTTAGCATTTTCTACAAAAATATATAATCTTATAACAAAGAAAATTCTTCTTTAATTAACAATAAAGTCCAAATTATTAAGATATATGAAAAATTTCAATATCCCGTGTATATTTATATTCTAATTTTTTGTAACGTATTAGATTTAAAATATACTTTTCTAGAGTTAGTATAAAATAACTCGTGTCAGTTTCAGTTATTAGTGTCGTATTTTATCAAACAAGATTTTATAAAAAGATAGCTTTTACATAAACTTATAGAAACATTTTTTAATATATAGCATATAGTAGATTTTTTTATCAAACAAAACAACAACAATAATAACTGAAACTGACATGAAATTATTTTAACTCTAAAAAGAGATATTTTGAAATTAATATGTTAAAAAAACAAGATATGGTTTTTTGAAAATAAATTTGAAAATATCAATAAATGATTTAAAAATAATTATATACGTAAATAACAAAAAATAATTTAAACGAGCATAGAAAACAAATATTAAAAATATCAAATAATT